GGAGAAGTATTGACTAGGGTATCCTAAGGTTCAGTTCTGGGTCTTCTTTTTTTTATATATATACAAAAAGTTTTTTATTTTTTAAACAAAAACAACATAAAAACATCATTCTTCCAAAACAATCACAGACAGTGTTTTGATCGGTTAAAATCATTTCGTGCTCTCAAAGAATTTTCACAATCTCATTATATGACAAATGTTCTTTCCTCTACCAAAAAACTTATTCACACATTAAATAAATGGAAGTAGGCAATCAACTCCTGAAGCAATGTCAATGAATACACTTCCTATTAGGCTAGTATATTGGGGTATCTTTCATGTTTCTAAAATCAGCTTTTAGATGTGAATTGTATGGATTCATGATAGTTCCAAACCTCTTCATCACTACTAAGAATATTTTTATAACTGAGATTCAAAGATTTGCATTAATTGAGCTATGTCACAATCTGATGAGGCAACCTTTGCACATGTTAAAAAAAGGAGATATCCATCCCTTTCAATAATCTTTATATTATAATTTACTATTTAATTCATTTTAGTTTTGCTGCTTATGCAAAGTCTAGTCCCAAATTAATGTTAAGCTTATGTTCTTTCTTAAAAACGACTGCAGATCTTCTTGCACTGCGAGATTCCCCCTTCTCGCAGATGTGGCCCTCCTCACTATCGAGGGCCCACCTCAAGGAAGGGTTTTGGGACCCAGAGAGGTGGCATGTGAAAACGAGGGGATTGAGGGGTTTTCTAACAAAATTTTTAGTCAAATTTTTAAGGGGTCCTAGGGAGGGGGAGGGTCAGATTGGAATTCGGGCTGTGGGTATGGGGGATAACCCACAAGGGGGAGGGTCGGGTCTGGCAGTGAAGCGTGGCGTGGGGGATGGGGGACCCGGGATCGAGGGGGGGGTTAGAGCTTGTCCGGATAGTTTTTTGAACATCAGTACTGTAGGTGGGAGGGGTAGATATGGCGGGAGCAGGGGGCCATATCGTGTTAGGGGAGTGCGCACTCGCTGTCTACGAGCGGTGGCGTGCTCCGGCCCCCAAGGCTCTACTCGCTCCTCAGGTTGCATAGATCCTCAGGACCCAGGCCTTCGGCTGATGCTGTGCAATGCCAGGTCCGTAGTAAATAAAGCCCCCCTCATCTGTGATCTTGTTCAGGAGGGGGGTGCGGACCTGGCAGGTATTACGGAGACCTGGTTGGGCCAGGAGGGGGAGGTTCTCCTTGTTGAAATGTGCCCGCCAGGTTTCCAAGCATTCCATCAGCCGAGGTCACAGGGGAGGGGCGGGGGGGGTAGCGGTTATCATTAAAGAAGGTCTGAAACCGAGGGAGGCCACTGTTCCTCAGTCGGCCGGCTGTGAATCCCTTTTTGTGAAATGGGGTCATGGGGTTCAGATGGGTTTGCTGATCACGTACCTGGCTCCCTGCCACGTGGCAACAGCCCTGCCCGAGCTACTCAACGTCATCGCCGCGGTGGCGGTTGATACCCCTAAGCTTATGGTCATGGGGGATTTCAACCTGCCGTCCGTGGGCGAGACGTCAGAGATGGCTCGGGAGTTCATGGCTTCCATGACAGCTATGGACCTGACCCAGTTAATTCATGGCCCTACCCACACAGGGGGAAACATGCTGGATCTGGTTTTTGTCTCTGGACAGTGGTTGAGGGATCTTGATATAGGGGATATAGTTACTGAACCTTTGTCATGGTCAGATCACTCTCTCCTTTGTCTCGACTTTCGAACCGCTGCACCCCGCCGCAGGGAGGCGGAGCCGGTAAGATGGTTCCGCCCCAGGCGCCTGATGGAATCTGACAGATTCCAGACGGAGCTTGGGCCATTTCCTGAGGTTCTGGCACACGCCTCGACTGGAGACCTGGTGGCCGCCTGGGATAGGGCGGCTGCTGGTGCTCTGGATCGGGTCGTGCCTTTGCGGCCTCTGACCTGGCGCCGATCTCAATTGGCTCCTTGGTTTACCGAGGAGCTGAGGGAGTTGAAGCGCCGGAAAAGACGCCTAGAGAGTAGTTGGAGGGCCAGTCTTCTTGAATCTGACCGGACACTAGTAAGATCCCACATTAGGAATTACTTAGTGGCGATAAAAGCAGCGAAATGTAGTTATTTTGCTGCTCTTATTGCGTCATCAGATAATCGCCCGGCCGCCCTCTTTAGGGTGACCCGCTCCTTGCTCCACCAGGAAGCGCGGGAGGACCCCTTGGAGGGTAGAGCCGAGGATTTTGTTCAGTATCTGTATGACAAAATCACTCAGATTCGGGAAGATTTGGACTCCGACTGGGTAGTCTCAGGGGGAGAGACGGGGGCAGGTCTTGAGAATGTTATCTGGGATGAGTTTGATCCTGTGACCCCTGAGGACGTGGACAGGATTCTGGGTAGACTGAATGCGACCACTTGTTTATTGGACCCGTGTCCTTCCTGGTTAGTACTGGCTTCCCGGGAAGTGACACGAGGCTGGCCCCAGGGGATTATAAACGCTTCGTTGAGTGAGGGTGACTTTCCCGCCGCCTTGAAAGAGGCGGTGGTGAGGCCTCTCCTCAAGAAGCCTTCCCTGGACCCGGCAATGTTGGTAAATTATCATCCGGTCTCCAATCTTCGCTTTGTTGCGAAGGTTGTTGAGAGTGTGGTCGCGCAACAGCTCCCCCAGCACCTGGATAAAACGACGTATCTGGATCCGTTCCAGTCGGGCTTCAGGCCCGGGTACAGCACGGAAACGGCATTGGTCGCGTTGGTTGATGATCTCTGGAGGGCTCGGGACAGGGGGTGCTCCTCTGTCCTGGTCCTGTTAGATCTCTCAGCGGCTTTTGATACCATCGACCATGGTATCATGCTGCACCGGTTGGAAGAGTTGGGGGTGGGAGGCACTGTGTTACGGTGGTTCTCCTCCTTTCTCTCTGACCGGTCGCAGTCTGTGTTGACAGGGGGACAGAGGTCGACCCCGAGGCCCCTCATATGTGGGGTGCCGCAAGGGTCGGTCCTCTTGCCTCTCCTGTTCAACATTTTTGTGAAGCCGCTGGGCGAGATCATCCGTGGTTTCGGGGTGGAGTACCATCAGTACGCTGACGACACCCAGCTGTACATCTCCACCCCGGATCACCCCAACGATGCCCTTGAAGTGATGTCCCGGTGCCTGGAGGCCATACGGATCTGGATGGGGAGGAACAGGCTCAGGCTCAACCCATCCAAGACTGAGTGGCTGTGGTTTCCGACGTCCCGATATAGTCAGTTGACGCCATCACTGACTATTGGGGGCGAATCATTGGCCCCCACGGAGAGGGCTCGCAACTTGGGCGTCCTCCTGGATTCACAGCTGTCTTTAGAAGAGCACTTGACGGCCGTGACCGGGAGGATTTTTCATCAGGTTCGCCTGATTCGCCAGTTGCGTCCCTTTCTGGATCGGGACTCTTTACGCACGGTCACTCATGCCCTTGTCACCTCCCACCTGGACTATTGCAACGCTCTCTACATGGGGCTCCCCTTGAGGAGCACCCGGAGGCTCCAACTGGCGCAGAGTGCGGCCGTGCGGGTGGTAATGGGAGCGACATGGTGTTCCCATGTAACACCTCTCCTGCGCGAGCTGCACTGGCTCCCGGTGGTCTTCCGGGTGCGCTTCAAGGTTTTGGTTACCACCTTTAAAGCGCTCCATGGCTTAGGACCCGGGTACTTGCGGGACCGCCTACTACCACCAATAGCCTCCCACCGGCCGGTACGCTCCCATAGAGAGGGGCTCCTCCGGGTGCCGTCAGCCAAACAATGCCGACTGGCGGCCCCCAGGGGGAGAGCCTTCTCTGTGGGGGCACCTACTATCTGGAACGAGCTCCCCCCAGAGATACGGAGGATCCCGGATCTGCGCACCTTCCGCCGCGCCTTAAAGACCTTACTATTTCACCAGGCCGGCCTGGCCTAATTTTCCCCCTCTTTTATAAAAGATTTTTAAAATTTTAAACATCTTTTAGTATTTATATATTCAATTTTAAATTGGTTTTAAAAGTTTGGGGTTTTAAATTTGCCAAAATTATTTAATTTGATTTTATTCTATTTTTTAAATTTTGTATTGTATGTGTTTTTATTGTTTGGCTGTGCACCGCCCTGAGTCCTTCGGGAGTAGGGCGGTATAGAAATCTAATAAATGAAATGAAATGAAATGAAATAAAAACACTAAGAACTACTTTATTGAATAAGATCAAGAATTACTTTTGAGGAATTTTCCAAACTGCAATGCACATTCCTTATTCTTCTCAACTAGTTAGTCAGCATATAAAAATATCTTTTACCCTGTCTGCTTTATTCAAACTGTATAGTTCTAGAATTCAATACAATTCAGTAAAAAAAAATAGCCGGTTTGGTCTAGTGGTTATGGCACTGTGCTAGAAAGCAGGAGACTTGTGAGTTCTAGTCCTGCCTTAGCCATGAAATACAGCTTTGCGACCTTGGGCCAGTCACTGTTTCTTATCCCACCCCACTGGTTTGTTGCTCTGGAGAAAATAGGGTGGAGGAATATTGATTATGTTTGCTACCTGCAATTATTTGTAAAAATAAAGATGGGATACCAACAAGCAATACAACTATCTTGGCAATTTTCTATGCAACAGGAAGCCATGGATAATAAATATGTATTATTCCAAAATATGTATTGGTCTTTACTTCCAATAAAATTACAGTGTGTCTATTTTTTTCTTTTATAACCTGCTACAATACTGCATTCTGTAGATATTTGATTGTACCTCCTATCCATGTTATTTCTCTTAACCTCTCAAAAATAATGAGAGGTAACAGTAGTTTCGTTGTACTCAGTGTATTAAGTTAAGACATGGAGTTCTGTTTTTTGGGGTAATTCCACCTACCATGAGAAATGTAGTTCTGAACTATAGGAGCTCCTATTTAAAGTAACCACAATCAAGAAAAAGAGTTAGTGCTGTTATGGATTCCTGCTCATGGTATATGTACTCCTTATAACCAAGAAGAGTGAAAAAAAACCCTAAAGTTCAATTGCTTAATTTTAGGTATGAATTGATGCAGAGAGGTGTGCTTGAACCTAAAGATGTTGGATTTGTTCCAGATGCCTATACTTGCAATCAGCATTTGGAGAGGGAAAATATATATTTGAAGAAAGAAATGGAGAACTATAAATTTGCAGCTAAGTATGTTCTTGTTGTTGTTATTAGGTTACATTTTTTTAGAGATTTGGATGAAAAAAAATTCTTGACATCAGATGATCAATAGAAGGTGATCAGTTTTCAATGGCAGTATTGATGTTTGCAAGACTGGTAAAGAATGGGTCAAATAGCTGTTAATCCATCAATACCCAAGTTAATTTATTTCTGTAATGCTGCTTAATTAAAAAGGCTCTGAGTGGCTTTCAATAATGTAAAAGTGAACTACTGTAAATAGAATTAAAAGAAAAAATAAACCTCAATCCCCAAAACAATAATTGCCTACATCAGGGAGGGGACGTGCCATACAATGACCTATCCAAGGACATCTGGAACATCCAGGTCTCTTAACTTTCCTGCATGTCAGAAGGGTTGGTGCTGCCGTGACCCGAGGTGGAGTGCTGCTCTAAGGCAGTATTGTGAAAAGGTATATGCTCTTTTTTTTTCTTCACAACAGCCCCTCAAGGATGAACCTCAAAGAGTATTTTCCCTACTCCTTTTTATTGGTTGACCAGAAACTACTGGGAGAAGTTACTTCTAATATTTATTACATTATATACCCTTTATCTATCAGTATTGTTGAAACAAAGATAAAATACCTGTATGATGAAATGTTGAAAAAGTCAAATATTTCAAAGTGGTGTTGTTTTTTCACCTGACTCTATTGTCTTTAATGTTTCCTGATTCTGCATTGTTTAGGGTTATATTGAACTTAAAAGTAATGGTAGGATACAAATACATTGTATTACTGGATATAAAAAGATATTGGTATACTTTATTTCATACTACATTGGTTTTAATGGAAATCTTTAGAAATTTCCTGAATTTTAAATTCTGTTAGTATTTGAAATGAAAATGTACATCTTCTATTTATATATTATATTTATATATAATGTATGATTACAGAAACCTGACAGAATTATTAAGTCAACATAGAGTAAAATAACCGTCTATAAAATATTAAACATTCATTTTATGTCAGAGGCAAAATCCACAATGGCAGGTAAAGAAGGTAGGTAAAGACAGTAGGAAGTAGAGATGCATTTATTTTGCATCTGTTATTTTTATTCTTGGTAGGGAAAAAAACTAGGAGTATGCCAGCAGCAGCAATAGTTTTCTGAATCAGGTGGATACTGAAATCCCAATATTCCTGCAAGAAGCTACTTAACTGAGGACACTGATTTTAGGAGCTATGGTGGTGCAGTGGTTAGAATGCAGTATTTCAGGCTAACTCTGCCCACCGCCAGGAGTTTGATCCTGACTAGCTCAAGGTTGACTCAGCCTTCTATCCTTCTGAGGTTGGTAAATGAAGACCCAGATTACTGGGGGCAATATGTTGACATTTGTAAACTGCTTAGAGAGTGCTGTAAAGCACTGTGGAGTGGTATATAAATGTAACTGCTATTGCTATTTCATTAATAATAAAAAGAATTATTTTTAACCAATTTTTAACACTTTAATTCAAGCATAGAAAATTAGAACAGAATCTCAGCATAGAAAATTATTTCCTATGAAGTAATATTGTTAGGAGAGACAGTTTAGTGGTTAGGCTAGAAACTGGCAGACTGTGAATTCTGGTTCCACCTGAGGCACAAAGCCAGGTGGTGACTTTGCACCAGTCACTTTCTTTCAGTCCTTGGAAGGAAGCAATGGCAATAATTTCTGAAAAACCTTGCCAAGAAAACTGCAGGGACTTGTCCAGTCAATCTCCAAGAATTAGACTCAACTGAATGGAAGTAAAACTCTTTTTCTAGTACTCTTTTTATTTATTTAGCATATGGCAAATACATGGACATAGTAGTTCAAATGTTAATGTCCAGTCCACCCAGCCATTCAAGGACAGGGTGGTCCTTTGCCATGTATTTAGAGAGCCAGCAGTTCTACAAAGATGTCTGGCTGCCAACTGGCTGCCACTTGTTGCTAGTTGTTTGGTTCACACTACCGTGCTATCTAGGGTGCACCACAAGGAGGCGAACTAGCACCACACCCCTCTAATACTCTATTAAAAACATATGCATTGGGTTCTTGTTAAATTTACCTGAATTTAATTCCAGATATGTGTAGTACTAACTCCCGAAGGAGCCACCAATGACTTTCTATCAAGTCTACCCATCCCTGATTTTCAGTGAATTGTAGGGCACACAATTCACATGAATAGGAAAAGAACAAAGTGTTAGGCAAGAGCAAGTTCACTCACTCAAAGTTCAATCATACCACAAAATTTTTTGATAAGAAGGAAAATGCACAGGGGAGAAACAAAATCCATGCAAAAATAACAGAACATGCCATATATCTAGAATATACCATTACACTTAATATTGACAAAAACAAATGAGGGATGCAGATAACAGGTTAAATGAAACCAGGACAGGTAATAGAGCTAGATCAAGTGCAGATGTGCTTCTTTTATTGGAGATTTTAAGAATATATTTCTGAGACAGGAAGGCTAGTCCTCATGATAGATAGTCCTCACTTCCTTAAAGAATAGAAATGTATTTAGAAATCTTATATTTTTTCCCTCATGCAGTAAAGCTAAAGAGGCACTGCTAAAAATGCAGAGAGAGCGTGACTTCCATAGAATGCATCATAAAAGAGTAGTCCAGGAAAAGAACCGACTCATTAATGACATTAAAAGGTATGTAAATACAAATCTATTTGATACTAATTCTATCAATCAGTTAATTACAGTCTTAGACCAGAGACCTGATATTAGTTGCAACTGTTGCTTTTCGTATATAGTTTCCTGACTGATACAATTTTTATAATAGATCTATATGGAATACTCCTAAACTTCAAGATTATTCTCTTGCTGAGGCATACCTGGCAATGTTTTATCTATGCTGATCAATAAATGGATGATGCAAGCTTCTTTCCATGATGAAGGAAATTCTTGATGCTTGGAATCTCATTCAATACCTGAGCTAACAATTTAATTAAAATTTTTGGAAAAGTTGTGCAATATATTCCATAGATGCTATAATGTCCTGGAACTTTGTTCTGTTTCTGTTTTTTTTTAAATTATATTTTTATTAAGAATTATTATTTTTTTATCTATAAGCTTTATGAGTAATATTCTATTCAAATGCTCTTTAGCCTTTTCGTCACCAGATGTTCTCCACTATAATCTTTAATAGTATATAACAAATTGCTTCATCATGTACATTGTAGAAACATGTCTGCTCCATCCCAAATTGAGGTAACAGTTATTTTGTCTTGCTCCTTTTGCATTGGAAAGGCAACAATTTATCTGACACTGCTTTTTTCAAAATATTTCTGATTAACAAAATTCAACTTCTCATGGATCTCATTTACTTCCATTAAATCTAGTTGATTATACATTTCTTTCATTTTTTGTTTTAAATAGATGATTGTTTCTTAATTCTAATTGCTTCAGTATGTCCTATTTTTGCATAGATTTCTTTCTGTTTTAAGGCAGAGAGATACACATCCTTTCATAAGTGCTTTGCTGGAGTGCTATACTGTAGATAAAAACACATTAGATTAAATTGGTTTGGAACCTTTTTAATTCTTGTCATTTCAATTTCATAACCACTTGTACTAATACAAATTTGTTAAATTTCCATCTCTTCAGTCTGGAGGTTTTTTTGTTTAATCTTACAATTATTAGGCTAATATTAGGTGTAGGTAGCACTGCTACTATCACATGCATGGGACTGGTTAATAATGTATTAGAAATTCAGCACATATGGTACCTCTTCATATTATAAACTAAAGAGCAGTGTATAAGTTATTTCACGGCAAGGTATTTGCATTCAAATACAGTGAAAAAAGATAGTAATGATATATAGAGTAAAACATTATGGGAAAGTTTGCCAGATAAAGGTTCTTTTAAAGTGGATTTGTCCATGTTTCAGAAGGAAAACAAACAATTTATATTTCCAAGAATCAGAATATCTTTGCACCATAAAAAGGAATAAAAAAAAAATTAATAGATCTTTATTTTGTTATCATTTGGGGCATAAATTATATCAATTGTTTTTTTCTCAAATTCAGCCTTAAAACATAATTTTCCCTAGTTCATCTTGAGTTTGTTTTTCAAATTCCAAATTCCAATATTCAAATATATACAGTAGTTGATCCATTTCTTCTTATCTGCCTGAGACTACAAATGTATGATCAAAGTATTTTCATCCCGACAGCTTTATAGGAGTCTTGAAGATATATAATATGTGCATTTTCCTTTTCTAACATTTATTTTTCCTTTTAAATGAGCTATTCATAATATTAATACTAGTTGAGAAATAGTTTAAGAAGAAATAACAGCTGCTTTGTACAACTTGATTTTCTGTCTCTTCTCTGCCTTTATTACCTTATTCTCTTACAGCCAATGACTGGAGTATTCCATTGGCATCATCAGTGGAATAATACGAAAGCTTTGCCCCCACACATAAAGGCCTATAGATGAAAGAGAATGGACATCCATATCAGATCTTTTTTTTGAGCCATTGTCAAAAAGCTATCGTTTCCCTTCTTTCTAGAATATCTGGAGGTGCTTTTGACAGAATCTCAATTCTTCTGTTTCTGAATTTTAAGGGAGAATTTCTCTTTTTTTATTTTAATATTGCTTATTTTGTCTTGAAATATGTGAATTTAAGAAATACCTGGCATTTTATTTTTTTGTTCTGTCCATGAATTTATTCTGAAAATTTATTGTATTTCCAAAATTTGATCAATATTCACACCAGATTTTGAATAAGTTTCCCACTTCTCTTTCAAACTAATCTTTCTCAAAATTCTTAGATATATCTCTGAACATGTTTAGCTTTTTTTGGGAGAGTGGGGCTCTCTGAACTGAAGAGAACTTTTGGTGTCCATTAATTTGTTGTATTCATTATTAAAGTCACCCTTAAAACCACAAATGTATGATCAAAGTATCCAAATCTTTTTCCTTTTTTTTGAACTTACTGCTAATATTATATTCCACTATAATGCAATTAATCTGTGAGAATATATATTTAATAAAGTAAAGCAGGTTGATTGTAACAAATGTGGGATCTCTTCTGTTTTTAAAAAATTCCTTCCCTACAATGTCATCTCCTATTTAGTTTTTTTTTTTTTTAAAAATAGTCTTTATTTACATTTATAGTTAAAAAAAAGACAAAAACAAACAAAAGAAAGAACAAAACGACAAAGCAAAAAACATGAGAGTATAAACAATACCTTAATAAACTATTATTTAACATAAACCTATACAATATATTCATAATACAGTCCGGGGGAGACAAAACAACCTATTTTAAGCTTATATACCAATCAGGTCTATCCGACCTCACTTTATATATACAATAAAGTATCTTCAATATATACAATGTCTGTTTATATTATATTAATCTGATTGTTGTCTTCTTTTCGATAGCCAAATATACCATTTTCCCCAAGATAGACATGTTGGCGTTTGGTCTCTATCTTTCAATTTTTTGGTCAGTCTATCTGCTTCCGCACAGTCCAGTATCTTTTTTATTATTGCTTCATCTGGTGGGATATATTTGTCTTTCCAAAACTGAGCAAATGTTATTCTTGCTGCCGTAATTATGTGCAATACGAGGTACCACGAGTCTTTTTTTAAGTTTTCCGGCCTGGAGCCGAGCAAGTATGTCTCTGGCCGTAATTCAAACTCCTGATTTAAAATTTCCTTTAGCCATTTTTTAATTTTCTCCCAAAATTTAGTTGCTTCTGGACACGTCCACTATTGATGATAATAAGTACCACGTTCAAATCCACATTTCCAACATTCGGCGGATTGTCCAACAAACATTTTTGCCAGTCTGTCTGGTGGGAGATGCCATCCATATAGCATCTTGTAAATATTTTCCTTGTATGTAGTAGATACTACCAATTTCATGTTTCCCCACCAAATCTCTTGCCATTTTTCAAGGTAAATTGGGTAGCCAAAGTTTTTCCAATCATCGTGTCCTTTACTACTTCTTCGCCAATCTCTATTCTCATCAACAATTTATAACATTTGGAAATCATACCCATTTCCTGCCCCATCAGAATTTTGTCTAACTCCTGTAGATCAACATTTATGCCATTTCTATCTCGATCACTTTTATATTTTGATTGGACCTGCAGGTAAGTCCAACAGTCTAGTTGAGATCCCTGAGAATTCAACTCCTGTCTTGATTTTAGTTCTCCTCGCACATTCAACAAATTTTTATATGTTGACTTTTCCGCAATGTTAAATAGTGTAGGGTAGGTCAAAGCTTCTAGAGGCGATATCCAACAAGGTACTTTGGTATAATATTTTTTACTAATCTTCTCCCAATTCTGAATTAGAATATTCCTTATATAGTGCCGAGTGAACCATTTACTATCCCGCCAGAGTGCCGCATGCCAACCTTGTTGTAAATCGTGGCCTTCTATCCTGAGAAGATGATTATTGCTTAGAATAATCCATTCTTTAACCCAAACTAGTAAAGCAGCTAGATAATAATTCTCCCAGCATGGTAAAACCAAGACCCCCTCTTTCTTTTGTCTCCTGCATCATTTTCTTTTTAATCCGGGGTTTTTTCCCTTGCCAAATGAATTTGGTTACTACCTGGTTTAAGTCTATAAAAAAATTTTGGGTAGGTTCTCTGGAGCTATTTGGAAAAGAAAATTAAATTTCGGTAGAACATAAGATTTTATTGTTGCTACTCTTCCCAAGAGTGATAATTGGATTTTACCCAACTTATCAAGATCTTTTCTTACCTGGGTTAGTATTTTAATATAGTTATTTTCCTGGATGCTCGAGCACCTACACGTTAACCAAATTCCCAGGTATTTGACTTTACTGACTACTCTAAGTCCTATTGCTTCCTTTAAATCCTGCTTATCTTTCTCTGCGATGTTCTTAGTTAAGATATTCGTCTTCTTTTTGTTAATTAACAGACCTGCTACAGCCCCAAACTCCTCGATTTTCTCCAATAAAGATATACACAATTTTAAAGGGTCTTCCAAGATGAAGGCCATATCATCTGCGAAGGCCTGGGTCTTGTATGTCTGATCTCTAATTTTAAGGCCTTTTATTCCTTCATCCTTTCTTATTTTGCGAAGTAAAGTCTCTAGCGATAGTATAAATAGTAAGGGGGAGAGAGGACACCCCTATCTTGTACCTTTACCGATGGGAAATTCTTCTGATAAATCGCCATTTATCAATAGTCTAGCGGTCTGTTTAGAGTAAATGGCTTTGATTGCATTCAGAAATTTTTGTCCAAAGCCCATGTATTCTAATTGTAATAATATGAACTCCCAACTAACCCTATCGAATTCTTTCTGGGCGTCGATAAAAACTAATGTGACCTGTTTATCTGGATGGTTTTTGTAATATTCGAGTACATTTAACATAACTCTGAGATTATCCCATAGTTGTCTCGACGGTAAGAACCCGTTTTGATCACTATGTATAAATTCATTTAAAAAACCTTTTAACCTATTTGCTAGAATTGCTGTAAATATTTTATAATCTGAGTTCAGGAGTGATATCTGCCTGTAATTTTTTATCTTTCGTGGGGGGGGGGGATCTTCCTTAGGTATTAAACTAATATTAGCCTCTCTCCATGAATGGGGAATATCAGCTTTTCCAAGTACCTCATTAAATAAATCCTGCATATGTTCCCCCATTACTTCAAACAA